CTTTAAACCAAAGTGTTAATGACTGAAAACCCTGGTTAACATTCAGTCATGTGATTTTTTTTTAAAACAAACAGTTATCAGAATCAGAATCAGAATATAATTATCATACCAGTATATGCACTTGGCTACCAAAACATGAATAGAGTGTGGTTAAAGTATGTGTGTGATGTCATGTCAATAACAACTCAGTGAAAAGGATCAGGGTTGGGACAAATGTAATTTCCCCTTGTGGATTTATAAAGTATTTCTTAAATTGTTAGTCTTAATCCTAAACAATTGAAAACTCTTTGCTAAGGAAAGGTAGGGAAAGCTTGTGTTCAAATATTCAAAAAGGTCAAGGAGAAAAATGAGCCATCACAATACTGCAGATAGCTGCATGTCCAAAGAAAGTTGCCATTGAACAAAAAGTAAATAATTAAATTACGATGGTTTGTGTAGTTATAGTACTCAGATCCTTGACTTACTGTGATTAAAAGTATCAAACATCAATGCAAAGATACTTTTTTTAATGAGTAATATGAGCAATTATTTCCTGTGTTCAAAATCCTACTTAAGTAAAAGTACAGGAGTCTTCATAAAGTATCATATGCTGTCTTGTACCTTGGTGGTACTACAGAATATGTGTTGTGTTTCTACTTGAATCTCTTTTTATATCCAAATCTTCTATGTACATAAATGTTTTTTTCTGTCTTTGTGAAGAAGTTTGGTCCAAAACCTGTTTGTTTTTGTGTGCTGTATGCAAACATAAAAAGGGGAAACTAACATCACCCTTTTCAAAGTTAGATCTAAACATCAGAGCTAGAGATGCTATGAGATACAAGACCACAGAGATGTGATTAGCTATGATATTGTGATACAATCATGGCGTATCTGCCCCTGAGGTGTGAAAGCATTTAAAGACAATGGTGACCTGATACAGTATCTACTACAGCTGTCGAATGTGTTTGAATGGACTTCTAAGAACTCAGTTTGATTATTTTTCATTATTAACTTCTAGATGATGACCACAGTGTTATCCAATCTTGTTTATAGTGCTTTATTGAACAGGGAATGGGGGCCAAGATTGTATCAAGAGACTTTAAGCCCCCTCACTGTCCCTGTTGATCCAAAGTGGCGGGACTGCAGGGCCCATTATCTAACAAACATGATAAGCTCCACTGTGCAAGTCACCACAGTAGCTGATTGGTTGGGATATTTCATTTCATTTTTATTTGTCCCGCTCATGGTACGCATAGCCAAATGTACAATAATTGCCAACAAAACATGTCTCTAGACACCATTGAGCGAAAAGGAGCAGGGAGAAGAATACAATCTTATATGACCTGCCCCTTTCTAAAAAAAACAAAAATATAAATACAAATAGATGGTCTGCCCTTCATAATAAAAATTTTTTTTCACAGCCACACATAAGAGTACACCCTCATCTGAGTCCTACTGGAGAAGAAGGTGGAAAGCGGAGCCTAATAATAATAATAATAATAATAATAACAATTAAAGCTGCAAGCAGCGTTGAGCGGGTCTTCGACGCTCCGCAGGCTGTTGTCCGCACGTCGAGGTGTGTGTCTAGGTGTCTCGAGGACTCGAACGTTGGCAAACGTGGAAAGTTTCAGGCCGATCGGACAACGTACATGGGATTTACAGCAGTATCATAAACATTGTGTTTGATGGCGAGTGATCTGTCGCCATGGTAACGGCATTTGATGACACCCCATAATATGCCTAGATGTGTTGAGGGCTGCATCGTTATCAAACCTGTGAAGTTCTGGGCCGTTTGGACCATGTTAACTGGAGTTATGAGAAAACCGTGTTTCACGGCGACCATTTTGTTACCATGGCAACGGCATTTGACGAAATCTCAAAACTGACACATATATGTCTTTCGGGCTGTACCGTTAGCACACATGTCAAGTTTGAACACTTTTTTACCATTTACACAGGAGTTATAGCAATATCATGCTTAACGGCGAGGGATGCGTTGCCATGGCAACAGCTTTAGAGGAAAACTCACTATTGTCATATTGAGGTGTTGAGGGCCGGACTAGTAGCCATCATCTGAAGTCTGGTGCAGTTTGGATCATTTTCCATTGACTTAAGACCAGTGGCGTCGCCTGGCCTGGGCATCCGGGGCTTTAGCCCTGAGTGTTTTTTCTCTAGCCCCGGACAATTCTCCCTCAATAATATAATACATTAACCGTGCTTTACGTGAACCTCATCATGACACAAGAGAGGACGGCAGCACTGTAATTTCCCGTGTTCAGTGAATGCAACAGAGGCATGACACCAGACCAATCAGAGAGTTGCATGGAAATAAACGTGTGCTTGTGTCATTCAAGCTCGGCTCTGTGTGTGTGTGTGGCAATAGCGCATTTAGTGTGAGAGAGAGAGAGAGGGAGAGAGGGGGAGGGAGGGACCGGTGCCAGCATGGACCGTGTTGTTAGCATCTGGTTTGCTAGCTGCAGTAATGGACATAAGGAGCTGTTTCCACAAGAAGCTGGAGGAGAGTCCTCTCCTCTCAGACTGAGAGACTCAGGTGAGCTAAAGGACTCTCTGAGTGTTTAGATACATAACTTTAGTCTAAGTTATCTCAGTGGGTCTCAAACGGTTTGGTCACAAATTATTCAAAAGATTATTTCCGCGGCACACCTTCATATGATCATTATAGTTATAAAAAAATAAGAGAATAAAGGAAAAACAGTTATGAAATACTATATGGCAGTAAAACAAGAATAGAGTTTAAAAGGGGAGTGATTAGTAAAATATCCATAAAGAAAAAGTAAATCTGTTTACAGTTCTGCTTCATATGGGTGTTGAGAGAGGTATCCATAGATCTCTTCATTTTGCTCTCAAAGTGCACCAGATTGATGCATTTAACTTCAATATTTAAAAAAGAATCTTCCCGGGGGAGCATCCCCCCAGACCCCCTAGAGCAGGTGAGCCCCCCACTCATAAAAAATACCACTTTAACCCTGCCTATATGCCGTGAGCTGATTATCGAGCCTTCATTGTAACAGTCACGGGTGTACTGTGTGTGTGCGTGTGGGGAGTGTTGCAGTAGAATATTCCACTGTAGTGCCGCCGCCACTGTGGGCTAAGCCCCGAATGTTTTCAGGTCCAGGCGACGCCCCTGCTTAAGACAACATTGTGTTTTTTGGCGAGGGATGCGTTGCCATGGAAACGGCATATGATGACATCCCATAATTGGCGTAGAGCTGTTGAGGGCCGGACCATTAGCCATCATCTGATGTCTGGTGCCGTTTGGACGTTTTTCCAGTGAGTTAGGACAACACAGTGTTTCATGGCGAGGGATCTGTCGCCATGGCAACGGCATATGATGACATCCCATAATTGGCGTAGAGCTGTTCAGGGCCGGACCATTAGCCATCATCTGAAGTCTGGTGCCGTTTGGACCATTTTCCATCGAGTTATGACAACACTGTGTTTCAAGGCGAGGGATCTGTCGCCATGGAAACAGAATTTGATGACACCCCATAATATGCCTAGATGTGTTGAGGGCTGCATCGGTATCAAACCTGTGAAGTTTTGGGCCGTTTGGAGTATGTTAACTGGAGTTATGAGAAAACCGTGTTTCACAGCGCCATTTTGTTACCATAGCAACGACATTTTGACTAAATCTCAAAACTGACACAAATATGTCTTTAGGGCTGTACACATGTGAAGTTTGGGGCCGTTTGGAGCATGTGAAATTGAGTTATGTGGAGTTAAATGAATACACTGTTCAAATTGAAAGCTGCTTTATTCTGAAATTTCCTGAAGTATTCTTCGTAATAACTAGCAAACTAAAGATCATGCACATCCACTGCACACATAATCTGAAATAACAACTCATATTTCTCGCATCAAATGACATCAAAACGCATTTTAATGGCCAAACTAACCTTAAAATAGGCATTTTCTACCGGGAATAAAACGAAGGTCGGCCATGTTTTTTTATTTCTGCGGAGAGAAAGTTGAAGATCACGTGACATAGATGCCAGCCATTGGAAATGAATGGTGAAAAAAACGTAGGGATTCTACCATTTCAGAGGCGTTTTTGTAGAAATACTACGTCCCAAGTTGTGGACCAACGTAGTTATTACACGTTTAGATGTGAGACTGGGTTGGGAGATCCGCGGATTGGTCCATTTGGACCAATTGCGCGTTACGTCACTATGACCAGGAAGAAAAAAATGGACTACAGACAGGTATTTTCTGTGTTAGAGTTGTACTCGCTACAGGGTGTACTTTAAGGGTTTGTGACTTTGCAGACCGTTTACATGCAGAAAAAGCTACATAACACACAAGGGGACGGGTAATATCCGGAAAAGCATGTCATGGGACCTTTAAATTCAAAACAAGGTCCATGAAACCGCTGCTTCGAGATTTTGACATTTATTTCAGATAGTACTGATAACTAAATTATTTGGGGGTTTTTAGACAGTTGAAAATACATTTTATAGACCAAATATTTACTTGAGAAAAGGTTTTGTTAATAATTTGTTGCATGAAATAAAAATGAATAACTATAATTATAAAGTTATAATATATAGCTATTATGGAATAATTGATGCTATTTTCAAAAGTCGAGTTACATTTTTTTTGTCATATGCACTAGAAGTGTGTTCAACAAAGAATCAACATACTGATGGGGTATAACAATGTATATTCTACTAAATACATGTACATAAATGAACATAACATCTAAACATTCCACTTTGTGTGATTTTAGCAATATTTTAACACAAAGCAGGTTTCTGGTGGGATTGATTAGCTTCATGCATGTCTAGGTTTGTTTACAACATTCCAGCTGACGTTCCCTTTTAAGTACCTCCCCTATTTCCGTACTTTGTTTATCTTTGTGTGTGTGTGTGTGTGTGTGTGTGTGTGTGTGTGTGTGTGTGTGTGTGTGTGTGTGTGTGTGTGTGTGTGTGTGTGTGTGTGTGTGTGTGTGTGTGTGTGTGTGTGTGTGTGTGTGTGTGTGTGTGTGTGTGTTTGCCTGCTACCTTTGATCTGCTCTTCTGATTCCACATTACAGTTCAGGAACAAAGTTCTCTCTAGCCCATATTGTTTTTTGAGGACCTCGATTAAACTCTTTCCAGCTGTTTCATTCACATCCAAGAGGGCAACCTGAAAGACATAGGATTAACACATAGCTAAAAAGTGTAGTCACAACATTCTAAGAATAAATCCTTCCTTAAAATGTTCAGTTTTTGTTGAACTGGTATCCTCTTGATTCAACTTTATGATGATTTTGGAGGCTGTTGTACCTTTGCTCCTTGAATTGATCCCCATATATGTCAATAAAGATAAGGCACGTTGCAGTGCTAAATTATGAAAAACGTTCATTTATAAAACTGATTTACTTTTAAAAGCAGGTTGAAATATGACTATAATATCGGCAGAACATTTAAATATTAAGAATGTACCTTTTAGTTGTCACCACTTAATTCATAGGCCTACATTGAACATCCATGCTGTTACCTTCAATAGGATCTCACACAATTAAAGCTTTACCTTGGCACCGTTTTCCAGGAGTATCTCCGTTATTGCTTTTCCTATTCCCATCGCTGCTCCAGTCACGACTGCGATTTTACCGTTTACTGCCATCTTAGCTGCTCAGTCAAAAACCAGGATTCTCTCAGCTGAAGGGTCCCTGAAACAAGAAAACCCTGAGGAAACGAAAAAGGCTGGTATTTAAGATGACACCGCCCCTATCAATGGGACATACCCATCCTGTCGAAACATGATGAGGGTAGGCCTATGTGGATTACTATGTTAAAACTCTATTCAGGTTTTACTTTAAATCGATAGAAATATGTTTCACCATTAAGGGAAAATCTTAGAAAAGTGGAACAAATGCTGTCTTTTCCATTGAGTATAAACTTGTTGTTGATGTTGGCTCCTGAGAGCTCTGGTGATTGTGAAATCATCTTAAATAAAACCAGACCTTTCAGGAAGCATCTGCGTAAAAGATCAACAAACAGGTACGATAATATATGTTCCGTCTATAATCTTACACAAATACAAACCAATGCAAGTCAATTTAGTCTTTTAACTCTTACGACTCCTACCACTTGGTGAGTTGTGCTGTTGTTTAAGAGATATGACGCACATTTCCGTTTAAAAACATTACGACTAAATAACTTTTTTCTGGTAATCCCATGTGAGTTTAAGCTTTATTCATTTTCCAATACTGTTTCTGTTCGTCAATACACGATCTTCCACTCAGTATATGAGCCTGTTGCCATTTGCAATAACACGTAATGAAGCAGCGATTATCTGTTACTAAAACTTGAGTATGTACTCGGTGAGAGCATGTTGGTGTATTGTACGAGTGCCGAATTTAAAAGTGCATACTGTTATCTCTAAAACCAACCTTATTGTAATTTTAATAATTGTATTTCCCTTTAGAAACAAGTCACAATAAAACAGACATGTTTTAAATGGAGTTTGGGATGACTAGGCTGGAAATAGACTGGCATATTATGTGTAAGTGGTTGTGGCCACTAGATGGAGGCACAGTGCTGTTTGACCTGATAGTTAATAATCCTCGACATATCTTTTAACCAGAATAAATAGGACAGGCAATAGGCTTTAGGAATTTCCCTCCAAATGTATTTTGCCGATAGATTGTTTTTCTTACCCAAAAATAATTTCTATGTTTTTAGTATGAAAGATATGTGTAACCTATATGTTTGTGTACATTATTCCAGTGTACACTATGCATTCATTTGGTTATTACAAAACAAATTCTGGGGATTGAGTTTAACCAGCCCACTCTGACTATACAAACTGACAATAAAGGCTGCAGGAGATGTTCAATGTTTGGTGTGGACCTTTAGTGGCCTGAATTTAAGATGAGCTATGTTAGTCAGTCAGAGATCTTTGTGTATTTGTGTCCACACCTCTTTGTGATGTCTTATGGTGTTCCCATTTTTATAGTTCTCATAAAAAAGTTACATTTTGCTTCAACTTAATGATTGGTTTTCATTCAAATGATGTGATCAAAATGTGAAGTGGGGCAATATTGATGCCATACTGTATGCAAATATTTGCTGGAAGTGCTAATAACTCATATTTAAGAGACCCTTCAAAGACAAATACCGAATTCAAAGGGTCCTTCAGTGTACATTAACCAATTAAAAGGTATTTCATGTGATTTTTTTCAGTAAAGAAAATGTACCTAAACTAGTTCTGACAAAACTTGTTTTTGTTTTTAAGTTGAGCAAAGTGTTTTATTTCTTAATTTGTATTTGTTATTTGTTGACCATTGTATTGATCCATGTTGATCTCATGCCTTTGACCTATACCTTGCCTATGAGTATGAATAGGAATCCTACAAATAGATTGAATCACTTGGGAGTGGGAGTGTGTGTGGGTGTGTGTGGGTGTGTGTTGCCTGTTGCTTAAAGGGTTTTTGATAAGCATACTTGGCAAGACTGTTCATGCTTCTGCAACAGTAAAAGTTAACTTAGGGAAATACTGAGAGAAACAACCACAAGAAATGTGTCAAAAAGTGTTGCGACAGAATAGCAGACACTATTTTAATTCAGATGCGGTTTTGTTAATTAATATCACTGTTATTTGGTGTAACAGAAAACATAACTGTCTTTGTTGCAGCTTACAGGAACACCCAAAATAAATAGTTTAATGCATTTTTGTGGGAAGTGGTGCCTCAGGCCTGGAACTTAAAAACGTTATTAAATCTATGTGGACCTCCACTCATCATAAATAATTTGCCTGGAGAGTGGCTCACTAAAAGGATCTTTCAGTGGGACACCTTGTATGGGCAAAATGATAATTGTTCATAGATTTACACATTAGCACAAGGAGAACAAATGTGGATTAGTGACGTCAAATAAGTAGCCTTTGATTTAATGATGTTGGTAATCCATTGTTGCATTCACCAAATCGTTTCTCTGGTTAAGTAGTAGGTGGTTTCCTGACTGTGGACATGTGCATGGACCTCTGTGTCTTATTGTGCCACTAGGTGGAGTGGAGAGTTGCCACATGGTGACAATCTGTATTGCCTGTTTTACTGAGTCCATTACATCATAGTCTCAGATACAGAAGGTTGAACACATGGACACAGAAAGAGAGAGTTCCCTTTTACTGTAACAGAACCCATATATATTTTTATTTTGGGTTTTCTGGTACTTAAAATATTTGTAAACACTATTTCTGTCTTTCCCCTTTTGAAAGGTCATTTTCTGTCTAATTTTGTATGTTGTAAGCAGCTATAGTACTGTATAATGATGCAGATTATGGGCCTGTACTTTTAGTTTTACATTATACTACGTAAAATGATGACATCTAACTGATATAAATGATTATGAAATTCTCCTTCCAACTCTGTGCACTCACAAACCCGAGTCCACAAAGGCCCCTGGAGCTTGTCTTGCTTACGGGGCAAATCCACCATTTAACGCCTTTCAACTGTGATTTGCTGACCAGCTGCTGACTTGTGTTTTCATCCCGGTGGCCCATTGCCATTTCACTGGTGATTACACTGCTAAAGAGCTCCAGAGAGCTGGACAATGCCCGAGAGCTTTACATGTCACCAGTGTCATCGGTCGCAAAGAATAGGACGTCGCCATTGAACCAAATATCAGCCTGTTTACAGTGAGGGGCCTCGAGGGGCAGCCAGGGGGGGAGGGGGAGGGATGTGTGTGTCAGGGTGTGTGTGTGAGGGTGTGTCTGAAATGTCAATACCTACAGAAGACCGTGGCTTTGAATGCAAAGACTTTGTTGTGTGTTTAGAGATTATGTGGTCTGAGGGTGTGTGTTGGGTGATACATACTAGACAGAGATGGTTGTTTGTTCACGGAGACATTCCGCCATGTTTGTGTGTGTGTGTGTGTGTGTGTGTGTGTGTGTGTGTGTGTGTGTGTGTGTGTGTGTGTCTATGAGTGTCCATTTTTCATTTTATAACAATACCATTAAAGATCACAACCTTAATTCCATCAACAACAAAATTCCCCTCATTCTTTTCAAAACTGTATTAGCTATCACGTACCTTATAAATACAATGATTGTTAGGCAGCGGACTCCCAAACTTCACATGTCAGAGACCCCATAAGCTTCTCAAAGCACCAACATCTGTATTATGACTTTAATAGAATCTCTAATGGTTGCAGTGACCCACAGTTTTTGAAAAACATATTTCATGCTGTCATGGTCTGGTAGAGGCCACAATTGCAACAACGGTTTCTGACAATTGTCTACAGGCTAAAAACAAGCATACCTAATATGTTTCATATCACATGTTTCTCCTTGTATTGACTCAAAATCAGACATCGATAAAAAACTGAGCATATGCAGAGTGATTCCATACTCAATATTTTATAAATCATGATCCAAGTTAAGTACAATACCAGATTAATATACTTATTTTTGGTATTTCCTTTTATTTGCAGGATACTCCATTTGACCTACAGTGAATAAGGAGGGACAAGTGAGATTCAAATATTTTTTTTATGCAAGAAGAGAGGGAAACACACCTTGCCAAAGATCACCACCTTTCTAGTTTTGGGAATAATACGTTTTTTTCCCAAACAGAAAATGCCATCTCATCCGATGCATTGTGTTGGATTCTCGACTCTATCTTTGCTTGGTGCAGTGACAAAAAACGTAATTCTAAATGACAATGATGAGAAAGTAGTCATTTTGTTCGCTACTGTTGTAGGTTAGAAGCTCACAAGATGCACTTTTAAAAAGGTTTTTCATAAATATAAATGTGTTCCACTAATCACGATTCGGATCTGGACCTAAAGCTGCTTAAATGCGTTTGCTTCCTTTAAATGTTATAGTTCTAAAACTCAATGAACGTTTTAAGGATAAAGACTTAAATGTACTAGTTTTTATCTGACACTTACTTCCAAAACCAGAAATTGCATTGAGGCAGGAATCTGACATTTGTTGTTTGCTTTTCTCTACTGAAGGACTGAATGCCTGGGTGTAACCTAAGGCCTAGGCTCCACGGGGACGAAAACAGGTTGAATCCGCATATTTCTCATGCGTATAGCCCTTTAAGCTCGACGACGCCGTAACAGAAACGTAGAAACAGACCCCGCAAACGACAACGGGTCCAAAGGTGGATAGATCTGGGAACGGAGCGCTCTGGGGGGTCCAACGGGGCCGTGGGGTCGCCTATACGGTCATCCGTTTCATAGCCCCGCCTCTCCCCGCCTCTCCCCACCTCTGCTGCTCACCCCCGCAAAAGTACACTGCACACTGAATTCAGATTATTTATCTTTATCTCGATATGAACATAAACGCGAGTGAAGTCTAATCTGACAGGACGGAGACATGCAGCTCCTCCGGCTGTGAAGCAGCGGGAGCAAAACACACACTTCAAGTCAGATCATCACCCTTAGCTATTTTAATTACCTCTCAAACTACCTAAACTAGTTATAAATATGTTTATTTTTACTGTCGGGTTTACTTACTGGATCAGCTGCTGCATGAGGAAGCATGAAGATTTAAACTTTAACACACATTGACCGGCGAAAAACTCTGCGCGGTTCCCTCCGCCCCCACCGCGGAGAATAAACAGAAGTGCAGCCATGACAACCATTCTTCTTCGCTGCTTTTGTGGAGGAAGTTGCTGCTTTTGTGGAGGAAGTTACAGCGCCACGTACAGGTTCGGCATATGTACTGCAGCTTTTCCAGCGGTTGGATGTAAACG